TCAACCTTATAGGAATTTCATCTAAACCATACTTCGCTTATGGGAAAGTCAGCTAGGATTGGGAGAAAAGCCTTATGAAAAAATCAAGGTTCTCTTATAACCACTACTTCTCTCTATCAACTATTCCAATAACCTTGACAAAGAAGAAAATGAGTAGCTTTGACATGATTTGTTCCTGACAAGTCCATGCTGGCTATTCCTTATAACCTTGCTGTCCTATAGGCACTTATAAATAATAATGGCTCTACTTACATTTAATAATTTGTTCTAGTATCTTTCCAGATTTCAAAGATAGACTGGCTCATCTGCTCTGTTCCCCCTTTTTAAAAACAGATACTATTTTAGCTCTTTTTCAGTGTTCTGAGATCTCACCTATCTTCTGTGAATTCTCAAAGATAATTACTAATATAGACGTAAAATCCCGTTTAACCAGGGTTAACTGCGATGGTCAAACGCTATGTTTAACCGGTTAACTGCTTTAATGGGAGCATGCATGGGAGGTGCCATGCCCCCCCCGGGTTGGGGGCTGCTCTGTCCAGGCTGGAGTGTCTCTACTTGTGGTGCACCAGTACAGGCCCCACCAGGTTGGATCAGCCCCCGTGCCTGTTATCCATAATCGGTAAGCATCAAACACTAAGAGTGATGCTTACCAGTTAACTGGCTACTCGGTTAACCATTTACATCCCTAATTATGACCAATTCTGGTTTCTGAAGTACCCAGAATGAATTTCAGCAGTTCTACTACATCTAAATTATCTAAATATTCTTTAACCTGTTCTTACCCTGTTTTGGTTTGCATTCCCCCCAGCTGCGGTTAATATTAATTGTGTTGAGAATTTGGTCACCATTAACCTTTTTAATGAAGACTGATGCAAAACAGATATTAAACACCTCAATCTTCTTATTAGTATCTGTTAACAGCTCTCCTTCTCCACTAAGCCTAAGAGTTTCACATTCCTTTATCTTTATCTTTTCCCTAACATATTCATAAAAAAACTCTTCTTACTGCTTTTTCTTTCCTTTGCTAAGTAGAACTTCAGAAATGCTAAGGCACAAATGATTTTGTTCCTAAATGTTTGTGTTTGCACTCTGTACTCCTTTGCAATTTTCACTGCTTGTAAGATGAAGCTTTGATTTCCAAATCATTAAAGAGCTCCTGCTGGAGACATATTAACCTCGTACTAGTCTTCCAATTGCTAACTATCAGAATAGTTAGCAATTGTATATTTCATATTGCTTCTCTGAGAAACTGCCAGGGATCTAAGGAAGCAGTTCTCTGAGTTTCTTCAGGTCTTCTGTTTTGAAGTCCATACTTCTTATTGTGATGCGTTCATTACTTCCTTTCCTTAGAATCATGAACTCTCTCATTTCAAGATCACTTTCTCCCAAACTGCCTTCCACCAGGAGATGTGTAACCAACTCCTCCATGTTGGTCAGACTCAAGTCTAAAATAACTGCCCGCTGTTGTTTCCTCCATGCACTGAAAGAAAGATGCTGTCCCTATTACATTTCAAATATGTAATGGAAATTCATATGTGTTTTGCCATCTTCCTTTTCAAACAGAGATCTGTAATTAAAATTCCCCATCCCTACCTATCATTTGCTATTTACACCTACACCCTACCAATATACTGAATGCAGTCACAACCCATGCAATTTTTTAGTGGATTCACCCCACTAAGCAACATCAGCTCTGTCCTAGCCAGACAGAGCATCAATTATATCATTCTCATCTGGGTCAATGCCTTGTGTAGGCAAACAAGAAAGTGGCATCTTATGGATCTGATGAAAATGAAATGCAGAGTTGAATTTCCTGAGTATACAGGTGGCACCATAGCCCAAACCCTCTCAGAGTGTCCCATAATAGCTTTATATGTATACTGCTTAAGCAGAATTCTTTTCAATATTTCATAAGAAGGCTCCTTGGGTTGATGAACAATTACCCAACACCTGCCCCTACTGACCTCCCAGAAAGGGAAAAATAGAGCCACAGAGAAACAATCTCATCCAACCTTGCCAGATCCCACAGGCATGGCTGCAACATTTGTTGATCGACAGTAAAAAGGGACAAGGGATGTAATAAAATCAACCAGAACACTTTCAGAGTGTTGGTTAACCAGTTTCTCTTTCGCAACATTAGGGAGAGCAGGAAAAGAAAGCCCAGGAGCAGTAAAGGGCAGTAAATAATTGTAATCTCCTACTTAGGATTCCTGTTCTCAAGGAGTTTGCAAAACTCATGTATTTCAGCAAGAGTTTTTATAAACTTGTATGTAGTTAGATTTTTAAGTCACATTTTTTTTCTGAACTACAATATAGAAATTTCCAAAATAAATTCTCTCTTAGATAGGCCTAAGAACCGAATGTAATGACTATGCTTAAGTACGATTTAAAGCAGTGATATCTGAACCAGGTCATCAGGTAGTTTGACCCAACAAACCATGATGAAAATATAATAACCAAGAGAAAAGGAGACCATCCCAGCCCTCACAACCAAATCAAACCAAATAACCTTTCTTTATTAATGTGATTCCAAGGATCCTACATTCCTACCTTGCCCCTTCTGTGCTAATCTTGCCAGAGGAGGCTGTGAAGCCTAGGACTATAATAGAGTTTAAAGAGAAGCTGGATAAATTCATGGAGGTTAGGTCCATAAAAGGCTATTAGCCAGGGGATAAAATGGTGTCCTTGGCCTCTGTTTGTCAGAGGCTGGAGGGGGATGGCAGGAGACAAATCGCTTGATCATTGTCTTCGGTCCACCCTCTCTGGGGCACCTGGTGCTGGCCACTGTCGGTAGACAGGATACTGGGCTAGATGGACCTTTGGTCTGACCCAGTATGGCCGTTCTTATGTTCTTATGTTCTTAATCTTCCAGGTTTGTGGGTTAGCCTTGCAAGCTTTTCAACAAAGGACATATAATCCATTGGGTCGATATGGGGGAATCTATGTCAGGGATTCATCACAAAGAATTCCACTTTCAAAGCTCCTTGCTCCATGGCTTTTTTGTAGAATGGGGTGTTGTCTGGACCTAAATGTGCATTTTACAAGTATCAGGTTGTTTTGAAAGAGTTTTAGTTTGAAAATCTATTCAGGTGTCAATTTAAAACTTTGGATATCCAAATAGCCCAATCTGGTATGTACAGTATTATGAGCCCAAAGCATGCAAACATCATGACTTAGCCTCCAAAAAGTCATGAGACTTTAAAATAATAAATGTTGGGTTCTTTTTCATCTGCCTTCCTTGTTTGAGCATTTAGGGGTCATATTTTCAAACTTTTCTGCGCAACCATGAGAGCTAGTAACTTACTTTTTAAAAATTATATGAAAATCTCAGTTTTCATGAGTCAAGAAGCTAAGGCATCAAAAAAAGCCATTGAAATACCACAAGAAAGCTAGTAACACTGTGAGTAAAATATTCTGCTGTTGCAATTTCCTTGGTGGAGCTGATGTACTTCAGGGTGTGTATTATGATACTGTATGTTCATGTGAAGGAAGTGTAGTGGAAAATGTGTTACAGAAATGTATGGAACAGAGCACAGTGACAGTGGGAAGCAGAGAAAGACAGATAGCAAGGAATGCTTTTGGATCCCAAATAATTTTCCAAATTAATTAGAAGAAAGCAGTTGTGTCCAAACCTGTGGCTCATCAGGCTCTGAAGTCTGGCCATTGAGGGTGACTGTGTTAAGAAAATATGTTGAATTGTGAATGTGTCTTGTCCTCCAATTTACATTAGCCTCAGCAATACTGGGAAGAGGTGGGGTTACCAGGTTCCCATCACCCCATGGGTGTTTTGAGCAGTTGCTGTCCCTTTCTTGTTGTATCTGCTAAGCAGCTCCTCCTGTTGCATCACAAAGGAGGAGAGAAGAGAGGGAGAAGAGTCCCCCTGCTTGATCCATCACCTCCCCAATTCTGCCAGCCTGTGGCAGCCCAAAAGAAAGCAGGAAATGTG